AGGGAGCAGAAGAGCAGATGAGTCATCGCACGCCGCGAAGCCGCGTGGTCCCCCCCCCCCCAAAGCACCCTTTTTTGACGTTTGTTTTCGCAGATCTTCCATTTTTCGGTGTTTGTTTGTTCGCTGCTGATCTGGTCCGCTGCTGCCAGATTAGCAGCGGACAAGGGGGTTTAGAGAAGGTGGGGGGGGGGTCGTATTTAACAAATTCATCAGAACACGCATTAAGCACCGAGAGCCATCGTAAGGAGTCCTTCTTGCCCGTTTGAGCACGGTTTTAACCCACAAGAACCGTGGTCGCCGGAAAATTGCAGCTTATGTGAGAACCATTGGAACAGGAATTTTTTTTGGACATGTTCGATTCGAACGTTTTCTCAATGCTTGTATTTTACTTCGTGTTGTTACATTTTATTTTTATAATAACATATTTACTATTAGAAATATCTTATTTCCATAAATTTATTGTACTTTATTACACTCGTATATATCGTGGTATAATCGTTACTAAGTTATTTACAACTTTTGCTACGATTTTGTTATTTTATTGATATACTCACTGATTTCTTTTCGTATTGCTCCCCCTTATTTTATATTGCTATATAGTAATTATTACACATATTTTGTTGCAAAATTGTATGTATTAGCATATTTCAAGCATTTCTTGACTGCGCAACGGAATAGATGCCATTTTATTGTTTTCGCTGTTTATTTATCTATCGATACACAATAATTTGTATTTAACTATATGTGGGACCATAGTAACTGGAATTTTTTCAGTGCACTATCAAAAAATCATTCATCGGGACATAAAACCATCGAATTTACTCCTCTCCGACTCCGGTCATGTCAAGGTGAGAATCTGTTACATTTCTTGCCTCTGTGTTGAGCATGTTGGTTTTCTTCTAAAGTAGAGTGTCGATTTTATCGATTCGGAATATTGATTTACTTCAAGGATTTTTTTGCTATGGTGTTTTCCATCCTATTTCTTGGACCCTTCCTTTCTGCTTTTTGCGTACGGTTTCCAAGTTTCGATGAGAAAGCAGATACTCTGATCTAACGGTCACATTCACTACATAGTGCGACAGGCTCTACATAGCTGCACCGTAGGGCGATGGTTGATGGTTCGCGTGCCCTCGATGATCACATTTTTGCATTCTGAGCTTTATGAATTTCGTTATGCTACGATTCTACGCGTCAAAGGGGTAAGGCTTGGATCTACTTCGTATAGATATCTTTCATGAACCAAAACACATGGATCGGCACTTCTCATCCATTACAGTTTTGAAATGTCAGCAGTAAAACTCATGAAAATTAATGTGGAGGGGCTAGCCATTATAGCACTCAATGCGAATGGCGCTTGCGACTATCAGCCTTCCTTTAAGGGTCAGGGGTGCTGAGGCTTCGAGGAGGGTGGGTAGGGGGAGGAGGTAGCTCAGTATGGCACAGCAGCAGCCTGTTTCCCATCAAGTTACAAAACGTACTCTCTTCAGTAATTAGTGGAGAACGGGTTAACGTTGCGCTGAAGCCACCCTCACCCTCTTCTTGACATGCCGCTGCATCAGAAGCGGCCTATTCATACGGTTGAGTGGAAGAAGAAGGATCATTGAAAGTCTGGTTTTCAAAGATTTATGATGCAACTTTTTTCCAGATTGCCGATTTTGGTGTCTCCTGCGAATTCGAAGGTATCGACGCCTTCCTTTCTGGCACCGCCGGCACACCTGCTTTCATGGCTCCTGAAGCGCTTATAGGTGAGCTTTTAGTGTCAAGTGTATTTTTATTGATTGTTCTCTCGATGGTGCTTCATCGAATTTGGAAAGGATAGTGTTTCACGTTGATCGATTCGCTTAAAATTTAATTTTGTGGAAAAATGAGTGGGATTGATGTGGTGTCCCTACAGTACCATCTGGGACTGACGGCATTGAAACATCATTTTTCTTTGGTATCATGTTTTGGAATCTGGTACAAGACATTTATAACCCTTCGAAAACGCTTCAACAGCCCATCAGCTAAGGTAGTGGCTACGGTCATGTAGACCCACTGCATAGACCATGGGTCATGGCTCTGTATGGGTCAGGAGTACAAACCATGAGCGTTCCCATTCCGATCGCATTTCGGCTTGGTGGGGGAATAACAGTTAACTGAACCTGAACAGGACCTTGTAAAGACCTGTAAAATCCTGTGACCACAGTGGCTCTAGTGAACCTTGTTCACAGTTTCACAGAGTTTCACAGGTCTGACCAGCAAGTGTCAACATGAACTGCCAAAACCATCTGACAAAATTGCCCCTTCCAAGCCGAACAGTGCCTCATTCTGTACATCCGAGTTTAAGCACTCCCCAAATTATTACGCTTCGTTAATTCACTTTCTGACGTTGAACACTTTTAGAAGGATCGAATCACTTCTACTCAGGACGAGCTCAAGACATGTGGTCATTAGGGATCACGTTATATGCGTTTGTAGTAGGAAAGGTGAGCTCAATAATTTCGATTTTCAATAATTTATTAATTTTTTCATACTTTTTAATTTATAATAACTTTTCAACTCTTTACAATCGATCAATTTCTTATTATGCCTTTTGTTGATGAACTCCTAAAGCGGCAGGGCGCTTACATGTTTCATTTCGAAGGTGCAGTCCAGGCTCATCGCGTGGGCGGAGACGTTCAGACATTGTGCTGTTCTCAGCGGTGCGTTCTGCTCTCCAAAACGGTAGCGTGAGCAGGATACGACCTGCCGCAGGAAGACATTTTTGCAAGTCGCAATCTTCTCTACGAATCTCTTCGTCTGGTACGGCCCCACTCCCGTATCCTCCCAAGCCAACTTCTTACCAATTTGTTTTTTTTTTCGAAATCCCTCCTTTTCCTCTCAAAAAAACTGCGCTCGAAGGAAAGGGGTATAGACCAATGAAACGAGGCTATATCGAGAAAGTCAACAACCGATAACATTTCTATCAGAGGCAATCTCCCCTCTCCCTCCAGCGACGAAATACGACTACCTCAGGATTCCTGAAAGTACGACTTGCCCTGGAGGATGAAACGCCCAGTGGTCCCCTTTTCTCAGCCCCCGCCACCGAGAACTATACCTTCGAGCTACACACCTTATGTACCCTTTTCTAAGGAAGGATATTTGAACTCGAAAAACTTTAACTATATCTGGTGTTCTCTTATTTTCCCAATCCCTGTACACCACTGCCACAGGGGCCGTAATGAATCTTCCACGCAGTTTGGCTTGGGGGGGGGACATTTGCACATTCGCCACTTACTGTAGACGCGTCGAGCCAACAGGGGAAGATCTGTGAAATTTTGTGAAGCCATGAAGCGATACTAGAGGAAGTTTGTAGAATCTACTTCTCAACTTTTGTAAAAAATCCCTGCCAACTCCAGACTGTAAAGCAATGAACACGTTGATCAGAAGAGCAGTGCAATGTGCCCCTCCCCGTCCCCCTCCAAAAGCCGGACAGCGCTGAAATTTTGAGTAATTATCCCCTGCTTCCGGCCCAAACTTCAAGAAGTGGGATCGTAAAGGTGCCATGCATTCAATATTCCTATTTTACATTCATAATTTGTTATTATTACTTCATTATATATGGCAATGCTTTCAGGTACCCTTTTGGGACGCCTACATCATTGCGCTCCATCGAAAGATCAAGAACGATCCAGTGGTTTTTCCAGAAACGTGTGTTTTTCTTACTATTTTTCAAGAGGAGTTGCAGTCGATCGATAAATCGATGGCTGGAATGGCCATGCTTCTTTCATCTATTAGTCAGGAATTTCAGGCCACATCTCAGTGATCCGCTCAAGGATGTGATCCTAGGGCTACTGAAGAAGGATCCTGGCCTACGATTGCTTTTACAAGAGGTTAAGGTGAGAAACCGTATTGATTGATTTATTGATCGTCGAAAGCCGACATTTTCACGGTTTTTTCGGCGCAGTAGACTTGTCGGCGCTGTTCGACTTGGGAGGGGCAGCTTGCACTTCCACTAACTACTTTTGTTAGTTCCTGTGAAATTACTTGTTACATATTGATGAGATCTGTGAACTCTAGTAAGTGTGAACGATGCTTGCTCCTGCATAGCTTTATAATAGTTAACAGGGCTCAGCAGGGGAATTGATAGGAACCAGGAAAACGCCCCACCAAGCTAACTGCGTCGTTTCGTCTATATTTTTATACCGTAATTCTTAGAAACCCTACTTTTCCTGCAGGTGCACGCGTGGGTGACGCGTCGCGGCACGTGTCCGATGCCATCAGAAGAGGAGAACTGTCACCTGGTTACGGTAACGGAGGAGGAAATTGAGAACTGTGTACGAGTTATTCCACGTCTCGACACGCTCATACTCGTCAAGGCTATGGGTCATCGAAAACGATTTGGGAACCCGTTCAGGTATCATTTGCCTACAGTATCCTTTACTACCGTATCTTTTAAAGCGGGCATGAGTTTCTCTATGGGACCAACTCTTCACTACTCTTGTTTATAGGAACTCTGCGAATTCATCGTTACGAGATCGACGAAAGTCCAATTCAGTCAAGGATCCCACCTACTGTCCACCTCCGTCAATCGCCAATGGAGAGAGCAGGTACTACATGGTTTCATTTGGGTATACACCTGAAAAGAACTCAGCATTAGAAAAGCTTAGGACCTACTGGCGCTATGGAGTGCATGGGAACTGTTATGGGTCAAGAGATACAACCTAAGGCGACGCGCGGAATTTTTACCTAGTTGATCCTGTTTACCGTAGCAATCTTGCGCTGCAGCTATCTGGTGCGAGTGCCGCGCACGCGACGCCGCAGCAGTGCCCTGCTGCCGTAACTCGAATCTTCTGGCTGACACAGCATTGTGACTTGCCCTGCGCTACATGTCACATTTCTTTGGTGGTTCATTTCATCTCTGTTCTTGTCTTTTGGGACCATGGGCTCAACTTACTCGATCCCCGCATGCCATACGGCGTCAGCCCTTCCCCCTTCCCGATTTTCGACCATGGGCATACGGTACAAAGTTTGGTCGTGTCGTTGACACGTCTTTGAAATCGCTGGTCAGTGTTCCTTTGGAATTCCTTTGCCGCCGCACGCTGGGAATCCCAGCGAGAGTGGGGTTGTATCTGGTATATGCAGGGAGGGGGCTGATATTCAAGTTTGTGAAAAGCGTTTTTTGTTCTTGACCTCCCTCAATTTTTCTCGTCCCACGTGCCTTCTTTATTCCTCATTCTGCTCGGTGGCAGTTCTTAGGGGAAAATTCTTGTTGAAAAAATGGAATTTTCGGAAAAAAAATAGTAGGAAGTCGTTATAATTCAGGGAGAGTAGCTAGTTAGTAAGATAGTGAACTTCTGAGGTGGATATTCCTAGGGGAGAGGAGAGAGGAGTTGGGAACTTTTTTTTGTAGATGTGATACTGGGCAGGAACCAGCATGCAATACAACAAAGATGAATTGTCTTTGCTGAGCACGGGATAGTCTAGCTTGACCCTCCAAACAAGAGCTCTTTCCTCACACCCGGACACGTGCTTTCGAATAGACGAGAATATTCACCTATCAGGGCAATTCGCCTGCATGTTTTGCCGTTGGAGGGGGGGGGGAGGAATTTTGAATGCAACCTCCCCCGGAAGTTCCTGCTCTGATACGTTCCTACCATCATCCTAAATTCTCAAAACTTCCTACCACTCCTCACCATTTTCTTCTAAAAGCTCTCAATATGTTCTCCAACGCTGCTACTGAGCGGGCCGGGGGGGGCTAGGGAGGGGGAGGGTAATGCGCCAAAAACGAAAAAAAGAAAACTGAGAAAGACTACCGAATTCATTCCCACAAGGGCGAATACGATCGCCTCCCTCAGGCCTCTACCCCCTCGCTGAAGATCCTCAGGTACCCCGCCGTTCCCGGTGCGAACTGTTTCAGAACGCATTTAAAACGTGTTCGGCTTCCACAGTGACCACTTTTTCAACTCTAACGTTATTTCATGAAAGCTGAATGGCCATATTACTGTAAGAGCATTGATCTTATCCTCTGGCGACTAAACGTACTCATTCAGGCGTGACGTCAACGGGCTCAGTGAGCCTCTGTCGAAACTGCATCTCTCTCCGGAGAGCTACCCACCGAAAGCAGCTTCAGCACGTCACTAGACCGCTCAGCTGACTCAGCAGGTTTCCAAGTCACTAAGGCTGCGTCTTTGGTCGGCAAACTTCACAGCAAACTGCTATAGAAATTCGGCGAATTTGGCGACATTCCGCGATAATTGGATAGGCGGAGACTTATAATCAGTGTGCCTATATCATTGTTGCTTACCTTTTGTCACAACACTAAAAGGAGCAGTGAAAAAAAATCAGGAAGAGGATGTTGTTGCGGGTCTCCACCCATTAACTCGCCCATTCGATCATCGCGGAATATTTCTCTAGACCGTGCCGTAGTCGGATTTCTGTAATCTGCGGCAGTGTTCATCGTACAAGTGCTACTTAGAAACGAACTAGTGGTTCGTCCTTATCGATGTGATCTATGTAATGTAAAGCGTCCAGATGTGCATAATACTCCCCGAGGATGTATTGATTTATTGATCAAGTGATTACGAGTTTATCGGTTGTGTACTTGTTTAGTTGTACTGAGTTGCTTTCAGGCACTCGGCACGGCACTTAATAGATTCGGGTCTGCTGATCTTTCCAGTATTGTCTAGTCCTTACTCAGATCTCTCATTTCTATATATTTTGTCGCGCGCTTTAGTTTTGCTTGCCGTATTTGTTCATATATTTTGGAGGAATAAATAATTTAAGTATTTGAGGAGTCTTTCTAGCCTGTGCTGAATAGTTTCTTCTGAAAAGCGAACGCTGGTTGGAAGGCTGTGTCTCGATGTCCGCGATAGGCTGATGGGCGGGGTCTCACGGACACCGGCTATCGATGGGTGCGCCCACAGTTCCATTGGGCGCACCAATGATAGGTAGGGAGAATGGCGGTTCGTAATGAAGGTGCAGTGGTTATGACTCCCCCGCTGGGATGCATAAAACATGCAAATGTGCGGTTCCGGCCGGGTTTTGCCTTTGCGACTTCCCAATAGCTTTGGAGGAGTCTTTTAGGGGAATGCTTGTCCAAAACTGCGATTGACAAAAATCTGTATAGAATCCCCGAACTTGCAGTGGGTTCATTCACAAAGGTGCTTCTTTCTCCAGTCAAGCATAATCGTAGTTCTTATCTCCATGGTAATTGTACTCCTCATCTCCATGGTAATTCTAGTTCTGCAGAAGGAGTCATTTTTCGAGGTATCTGCGCTAATGTGTGTGCTGAAGCGTGACAGAACCATACCTTTTTAGGTAAAGTACGGTTATCACATCCTATCATCTCCATCTCATTTGCAAAGTAAGAGGGTACGCGGAAAAGAAAGCAGTGAGAGTGTAGGCGGAAAAGAAAGTAGAGACGGCGACAACGAGTGTCTAGGTGAGCGCAGACAGCACAAGAAAGCTCGGCTGTGTCGCTTGTACAGGTGCTGCCTCACGACTGCGCCTGTGCTGCCGCACGGCCAGCCAGACGCCTAACCATAGCCGAACGCGCTACTTGTCTGCGTCCTCTCACTTCTGGTTGCTCTCCCTCTGACTGCATGGGTTCATGGGAATGGTTCTGGCTGAATTCCTATAGGGTATTGCTTTAGCCGTAACCAAGATGGTATAAAAGTTTTATTGGCTAACGTTTCGGCGCCTTATCGCCTTCGTCAGAGCCTGGAAAAAGTCAAAAATCAAAGTGAAACTACCCTCGGAAATCATTTCAAACCTCAGATAAGCTAGTCCCAGACCAGTAGGATCCAGAAAGTCATAGAACACAACCACAAACGACTCACCTTTAATGCACGACCGGTTCTTGTTTGAGACCACCGCTAAATAGACTCCCCGTCGGTGGCTTCAGCTGACCTGACCGCTCTACTTGATGCCGATGGCAACTGAAGCCCACACAGGTCAGCAAACGGGGCGAGCTCGTTTGTGATGGTCAGGCATTCGTCCTTTCTATTCATTCTGGGATTTTTAGCGCTAATCCAAAACGCTTCCAAAGTTTTGCGCGCCGAAGTCTGTGGTTCTCGCATCAAAATCCTAACCGTCACCTCAAACTCCGCGCCTCCATGGCGCTGAAACCCGATGACTACCCAGGGGGGACTCTTGTCTTGATCGCCTCAGGCTATCTAGGTGTTCCTTCACCCTGGAGCACAGGGGTCGTCCAGTCTCCCCGATGTACTCATCCCCACAACTCTTGCATGATATCAGGTAGATCACACCTGATTCCATGCAGTCCCCCTCCCGCCCAGAAGGACATGTCACACAATGTGGGGTCGGGCAGTACCGATCATACCCGCGGTTGCGGATCAGCTGCTGCTTGAGGCTCGCAGGAGGGATCTCGACCAACCGAACCATGTTGTCGAGACCACACCTGCGCAAAGACAATCTCACAGCAGCGCTGATTGCATCACTTACGAAGGGTAAGCAAAATGGTACTTTCTCCCAATCCTCGGTCACAGGACTTTGTTGACTCCTAGTGGGTGGTCTAGGGGGGTATTTGCCTTCTGGGGGTAGCCATTAGAGAGGCTTATTTTCCGAGCTAACTCCAGGGACTCTTCTCTTTCTTTCTCACCTGAAGAGACCATTTTGGCTGTCCTGAACATGTTCCTGTTGATAGCCCGTTTGGTCCCTAGAGGATGCGCCGACCGGAAATGGACTAAGATGTTCTTGTTGGTAGGTTTTCGGTACCACTTGGTCCGATAGAACCCGCCTCAAGCTGGATCTGCACATTGAGGAATGAGAGCCAACTGTTAGAAGGCTTCTCCCTCGTAAACCGAATGTTCTCAGCTTGGTTATTGAGGAGGTCGAAGCACGAGTCCATTTCCCTCTCCGTGGTGCAGACGATGAGGCAGTCGTCTATGTAGCGTTTGTACAGGATGGGTCGGCGATCCAGTAACGGTTTCTCTATCTTGGACATGTAGGCAATCGCTAGGACTGGTGCCAGCCGCTGACCCATGGCCAAACCTCTGAGCTGCCTGTAGTATTGACCGGCCCACCTAAAAATGGAACAATCGAGACACTCTTTAACAAGTGTCATTATGTGGGTGGTCTGCTTCGCCACGACGAGAAAGGACGAATGCCTGACCATCACAAACGAGCTCGCCCCGTTTGCTGACCTGTGTGGGCTTCAGTTGCCATCGGCATCAAGTAGAGCGGTCAGGTCAGCTGAAGCCACCGACGGGGAGTCTATTTAGCGGTGGTCTCAAACAAGAACCGGTCGTGCATTAAAGGTGAGTCGTTTGTGGTTGTGTTCTATGACTTTCTGGATCCTACTGGTCTGGGACTAGCTTATCTGAGGTTTGAAATGATTTCCGAGGGTAGTTTCACTTTGATTTTTGACTTTTTCCAGGCTCTGACGAAGGCGATAAGGCGCCGAAACGTTAGCCAATAAAACTTTTATACCATCTTGGTTACGGCTAAAGCAATACCCTATAGGAATTCAAAGTATGCCAAGATTCATCGAGAGTCGAACCTGGTTCTGGCTGAGTTGGGAAACGTCTCCCAACCCTCCAGCTCGACTGCCACTCTTTTTTGGTCGGAGAAAGTGCCACTACACTGCAGCGGCAGACACACTCACCTCCCACAGCAAGGCCCGTCCTCGAAGGTGACTGTACATTTTGCTCTGATGGATTTATAGTTCGCCATGTCTCAGTTCGGGGACTCGAAAAGAACGTATTCTTGTCAGAATTGGAAAAAATAGGAAAATAAATACCTCGATGCCTCGTAACCAGATGCCATAAGCGGTTCAGCGTCCATTGTATTCAAGAAGGATTCTCTCGTATGTAAGTGGTCCAGAAACTAGAGCAAGAAACTGAAGACGGGGCCCAACCCAGCTGAGTTCACGGCCATGGTTTCTGGCAAATTCCTCGAGTTCGTGGAACTTGTGGTGCATTTTCTTGTTGAGCACTGATCTACCCCCTTGCTCTGATCTCCCAATCAGACAGACGTCTTTCTTCTCGGCTGTGCGGTATCCAATCGATCGATGGAGCTCGTAAGTTTCAGCTGTTATTTTCATATTAAAAATACTTTTTTGCCAGTTCTACCAAATAGCAGCTCCTTTAAAACTTATGTGGGTACTCCTTGACTAAATGCGGTCGCTACTCATTCCATAGGGTCAACCAACCCCAACCCTTATTAAAAAATATGTCAACCCTTGTAAAGCTATGATGATCACGGGGAAGCAGACAAAGGGCGAAATGCTACCCCCTAAAGCCGAACTGCGCCAAAATGAGATCTCCGCGATTTTATACTTGAACGGTGCCAAGAATCCGTGACTCAGCGCTCAAGGCCATGCGTAGCGTCAGCGTTGACTCAAATCTTGCTGCAAAAGGCTAATTAGCCAGCTATTTTATACGCTCTATCGAGAAATACTCGTAAATAGGCGCTATTTATAGGTGTCGTTTTCAACGTCTACAGCGAACCTCTTGGTCCAGCCCGTCGACGCTTTTGTCATCAGTCACTGTGGTTTAGATGAATTAATTATGCACGAGCTCCTCATTAACCACCTGCTTCAAAGCTCGAATCAATGCCGCGGCATTGAGCCCTTTGAGGTACGCCTAGCTATTTATCATTGCTTTTACCTGAGAACCTTTCTTTTCATGGATTCTCTTTCGTTACAATAGTAAACAATGGTAAACAGAGCTAAAAAGTTGAGCTCGATTCTAACATGTGCCAGTAAGCCCCATGTAGTGAGCTCTGTCAGTATTCAATTAGTGAGGTCACCCTATACTCATATAAGACCCTCTCCATGAATGCCTTTCAGCTTAACTGCCATCGGTGACGTTTAGACAAGGGGACATACTGCTGAAAAAAAAATTTGTGGATACGACCCAACCTGTCTCAAAGTTTCCTTCCGTGGTGCGAGCCACCTTCCCAAGCTCCCATGATACCTACTATTTTCATAAGTTTTTCCAAGTCCCTACCACTTTTCGGAAATCCATTTTCAAGGAAAAAACCTCCCGATTCGCCCTGAAAGGGCCGGTCTCGGTGAAAGGGTATATATAGCGTCTATGAAACGGAAAAAGAGAAGAAACCCGACCTATTCCCTCTAGCAACATAGTGAACTCCCCGACCCCTTGCTGGGGAACCCCAGC